ATTAAGTACGTAACCAGAGGTACCAGTGTAATGCTTTCTGGGACTACAGACTAACACCTTGTCTTCAACACTGAGAAGAGATACATGAATCATTCTAAGAAAATGGTCTGATTGTGTGTGTGTGTGTGTGTGTGTGTGTGTCTGTCTGTCTGTCTGTCTCTCTGTCTGTCTGTGTGTGTCAAGAAATCTCTATAGATGTTTCCCCTGAACAGGCTACTCCAAATTTCCTGAGATTCGGATTTAGGTGAAATTCAGAAACAACTCTAGATAGTGGCTAGTGGCAAGATGTTTCAGAAAACCCATATGATGTGTCGATGCAGAAGCAAAGGATAATAATACTCTTAAAACATTTTAAAGTTGTGTAGGACAGGAAATTTCAGGAGGATCAGAATTTTGCATCCCTGCATGACAACCTGGACCATTTGAAATTCTCTCTAATGCAGCTATTGAATGGCCGGAATTCTCCCTTTGTGTTTAATGATCACCAGTTTCCTGGAAATCTAAGAAATGGGGGTTAGATATGGGTTATGATGAACAAATCTGTCAATTTTAGTTTTGCTCAGTTTCTCATTGTTCATGTCTGAAGTTCAGTTCACGTTACTGTGTCAGTTTGCAATTTTTTTTAAGTCCTCATGAAAATATGTCAGCTTTTCCAGTGTGCATTACTCCTAATATATACATTTGTATATGCATTTTTTCCTAATTTGCATATTTTGCAAATACAATGCACTTTTTAATGTAATTCTCACTAATATGCACATTTATACACACTTATCTGTGCTCTTTTGCACACATTATTTGGCTGGAGTGCCATTTGCAATTTGGAGAAATGAGACTTCTGAAGGATGGTTGTGTTCATGTATTGTTTTGGGCAGTGCAAATTAGGTATATCTGCCTTTAAATGTGAAATGAACCGAATTCATCCTCCATCCTTCAGTGTGGATCTGAATCTCTTTAAAATGGCTGTCTTGGATGACGGGAGTGAAGGCCAAATAAGGTGAAATCTCTCTGCCTCTCTTTCTGTCCCCAGTGTGTGGACATAGGGTTGGCTCTGTCATGAAGGAGGGTGAAACAAACAAAACCTTTCAAAGTATTGACCCTACTAGGAAGTGGGGACCCGTTATTTGGGCCCTGCTTCAGGCATCAAAGTGTCCTGTGCCAGCACTGTGCACAAGTGCATATAAGCGAACATTAGGAATGGGAGAGAAACTTGATTTTGTTTTGCCATTTAATGAGAAACTACATAATTTGGAGAACACACAAACTGTAACATGGGGATTCTTTGAAATTTGCACTTCTGAATTTTGCACACACACAAAATGTGTACAGAAATGCACATATTAGGGGAAAGTGCACTGATTCACAAAAAATAGCTACAAAAATCAATTATATTAGGGGAAAGTGCCCTCCTCCCTTTAAGGACTAAGAAGAAAGGAGTTCCCACAGTGGTTCTCCCTTAGGCTGACTGTGGTTTCACGCCCATTCCTCTTCAGGCTGTAACAGGGCGCTGCTGAAATTTTAAGCCCCAAGCCCACCACTGCCTTGTTCTCAGGTTGAAACCTAACTTAGCTGTTTCACATTGCTGGGAAATCTCTCATGAGGGCCATTTTCAGCTCAGCAAATGTAGGAATACTCGCGCTATAGTTTTCAAACAGCAGGGTAGCATTGTGCCTGCTGGCTTAATTCCTAAACCCCCCACATTTATTAGTTCTTCTGTACTTGACCTGTATAAATATATATTACACTTTCCGTGTGACACAGACAGAATGAATGAAGCAACCCCCTCCCCCCACACTGGTGTCTTATTGTTGATGTATTTTGCAGCATCCTCTCGACACAACAGTGCATCAGTTGTGAATTGATTCTGCTTCGTTAGTTGTTCTGCAATGCTTCTCCAATGCTACCACATTACTACTGTCCAGAGGGGTTACAGCACAACAAAAAGTTTGTGTGGTATAGCAGTTTAGATCAGAAAAGTATCAGGGGCTAGGGCACAGCTGTCAACCTTTCCCTTTTTTTAAGGGAAATTCCCTTATTCCGAATAGGATTCCTCACAAGAAAAGGGAAAAGTTGACAGCTATGGGCTAGGGGTGTGGGCAAAGGGTTACGTAACCTCAACCTCTGCGTTTCTTCCACAATCATATTGGTGGTGGAGCCTCTCCTTTGTATGCAGAAAGTCCCAGTCTCATTCCCTGGCATCCCCATGTGGGGCTGGGGAAGACCCCTGCCTGAAACTCTGGAGAGCCACTTCCCTGTCAGTGTGGACAATGCTGAGCAAGATAGATCAATGCTCTGACTTGGTATAAGGCAGCTTCCTGTGTTCCTTCCTTACAGGTGCATTTCGTTTCACATCAGCAATGGGAGATCATCCAGGGATCTTTGGGTGTAATATGTAATCTGGCTCTTTGAAACCCAAATGGTCCGGCTGCTGCCTCCCCCCCCCCAGCTATAGGGCAGCTGAGTGGGAGGAGGCAGGCAGACTCTGGAGCAGTGGCGTAGCGTGGGGGGGGCAGGGGGGCAGGCCGCACCGGGCGCAACATCTGGGGTTAGGGCAAATCCACAGGTTAGGGGGCGCAAATCCATGGGTTAGGGGGCGCAAATTACTTGCCTTGCCCCGGGTGCTGACAACCCACGCTACGCCACTGCTCTGGAGGCCCTGCAGTGCGCCCTGCCCTCACCCCGCCCCTATGGGCGGCACGCACTGTCCCTGGGCGCGCCGCCGCAGGGTCCAGGCGCCTGAGCAGCTTCTTCCACCGCTGGTAAGAGTCAGTTGGTGTGTGGGCGGGCAGACATGTTGGACAAAATTTAAAGCTAAAAGTACTCTGAGGTGCTTCACGGGATGCAGCAATACAAATGAAGCTGTTGTTGTTTATTCATTCATTATTATTTCAATTTATACCCAACCCTTCCTCCCAAAGGAGGGAGATTAAAAGATTTAAAAAGCAGTTCCTCGCTGCTTCTCTGAAACAAAGCCCTTCTCTTTCCTATTGTTGCAAAATGGAGGTTCAGGAATGAAAACAGCTGATAACAATTTATGGCCCAAGAAGCCACTCCTTCTATCCATAAGTTAAGATACAAGTTGGGGGGGGGGGGGCGGAGTGTTGGAAAAAAGGTTTTTCAAGTTTAAGGCACTCCCAGTGATTTCAGTGAGAACTGTGCCTAACCGCAATTTGACCTGCCAACAGCAGAATAATAACAAAACCCCAAACACCATCTCACACACACAAAGCTGCTAATAAAACAATTCTGGAAACACACAAAGAATAAACAGACAAAAATCACAGAGGGGAGACGGATGGACAGATTAGCTAGTGAGTGCATCATGTGGCGCACATGGAACCCACGCCCTGCTGTCGTGAAGTGAAAACCATCGTGCAAATTGGCCCACAAATAGATGGCTGGGTTAATGCATTTCTCAATGCCTATAATGGGAAATGCTACATTTTGAGCCTGCCTGAAAGCCACACAGACTTGTAGGCAGAGATTTTGTAACGATGGGGCCTGGGCAGGAGCAGAATCATTGCAGAACAGCCAGAACATAAATACAGGGGGTTCAATATTGCAGTTACTTAATTGCATGATTTTGTTATGAATGATTGAGTAGGAAACTACTTACATTGCTTTTGCTTATGCTTATATCTTGATAAGTAAAATAATGAAAGTCTTAAGGCAACAGCAGACCCGATGCTATTAACCAACCTTTTTTATTAGTTAATAGCTGTGTTTGGGGGGGGGGGGGTCCCAGTCTGGTTTGGGACCGTGATGGGGGCAAATAGACACACAATTATATTTTAATACTCTGTTGGAAGTCGCCCAGAGTGGCTGGGGAAACCCAGCCAGATGGGCAGGGTATAAATAATAAATTATTATTATTATATCAGTGGTTTGCTATGTCTAATTGCAAACAGCATTCGCACAATTACTAATTGTGTGAATAACATCATGTTTGCTTTGGCTGTTCCATTTTTCAAAAGTGCATTAATATTCAGAAAGGGGCAATCCCTCTTACCCACCCCAGTGCCCTGGCCATATCTTTCCCTAGAAGCTCTGCTAATCTAACATCCAGTACATGGGGGTTTGTTGTCTTGATTAAGTGTTAGCTGGCAGGCTCTCTGCACAGTCTCGGAGGCACTCTTTTATTTCTTTCCAGTTTACACATGCAGTGAAAAAATAGTTACAGTTAATATAGAAAACATGGCTTTGGGGTCTCTATGGAGGCTCCTGATTCTGTGAACTGTCATCCTTACGTCAAACAGAAGATGATACTTTCAACCATAACTCCCCTGTTTCAACATATACTGTGTTCAGGTAGAGCCTCTCCCTGTAGAATGTGAGATGGAAGAAAGATGCTAGCAGAGGCAAGGAGATTATCCTTCATTAGCAGGAGGTAATCAACGCATCAGCATTCTGCATTGCAAGTGCTTGGGCTAAGCCTGAAATTGCAAACAGATGCCAAGGCTGAGGTTGTGAGCCGCGGGTCACATGAAGGCCTGATGGATGTGGCTGGGGTGGCGCAAAAAAGGAAAGGGAGAAAGACAAACACACTGGACTGCTTTTTGGTAAATAGATGAGAACAATGTGTTGGGTAGGGGTGGCATATGCAAAGAGATAATTAATTGATGAATGGATAATGGAGGGCTTTATTAAACTGGGGAGGAGGGCCTCACACTTCACCAGGGACTGCCAGCAGTCCAGATCTAGCCACCTTCTTCCCTTGTTAGTCCACACATCCCATCCCTTATGATCCTGCATGTAATGCATTGAACATGCTGTATCACATGGAAACACCAGCCCACATTCCCCGGATGCATAGCAGAGAAGATGGTGGGGTTGGGGGTTGGACACAACAATGTTGGGAAGTGGAGGAAGCCGATCAAAGGGAGGGGGCAACTTCAAGAACAGGGTGTGTGTCTGTGTTTGTTTATGAAAGTGTGGGTGGGGTGGGGTGGGGTGGGGAGTAAGGGAAAAGAAAACGGGAACATGCTCAGGTAAACCGTTACCTCCAGGCAGCTCTGCAGGTCCACAGGTAGCCCTCTCCTCCTCCACAACGTCCATCCAGAGTTTCTTGTGGCAAAACTTCCACAAGCCATAGTGGGCCGCCTCGCAGACGAGGGATTGGTTCTGCTTGTAGGTGTTGAGCTCCACCCAGAATTCTGTGCCCACGGCCAGCACCGTCAGGGTCATCCCCACGATGGCCACGAAGAAGGCCAGCTTGATCTTGCCCTCTTGCTCGTCCGTCAGGACCTTGCGCCGCTTGACCCCTGCCCGCGTGCGCCCCCCCATGCGCTGCTCCTCGTCCTGGAGGAAAAAATTTGGCCACATCATAGCCCCTTGCCCTGCTCCCCCTTGTCTTTTGAAGGGATCTATTTTGGCTCTAGAATAGCTACCCGGAACCCTGTTTGCAAACCCCCCAGGCTTTAAGCTGGGTCTTCGGTGAGGGCTCCTCGCAGCTTCTCTTGGCTCCTATCTAGGTCAACACGTTGCATGCAGTGCTGAAAAGTTGCTTGACCACCCTCACCCCACCCCTGCCTTCTCTGCCCAATGCCCTGGCTTCCCAGGGTGAGGCCAGGGTTGGAACAGCAGCTACCTCACCCCACCCCCCCGGCAGCCTTGGCAAATGTGCGGAGCACCTGTTCCTGCTCTTCATCGCCTAGGCAATCAGGGTTATTTTAAGGCTCCAGGGCGCACAGACAGTCTGGATGTGTGTGTGCCTGTGCACCTCTGAAGGTTTTGACGATGCGGAGGCCAAAATGGAAAGCTCTTTCAGCAGCAAGGGCGGGGGGGACCCTCTTGCCCCACCTTACGACAGCACCCCCTGCTGGGACCGGAATACCTCGAAGCATTTTCACAAGTCTCTGGAACTCGCACCGGCTGCAATAACCTCTTTTGGATTCACACTGCCCTTCTTAACAGCAAGTATGCACAGCACCAAAATCATGTGCAAGTCTGTCTACTGCTAGGCAGTTACAGATAGGTAGCCGTGTTGGTCTGCCATAGTCAAAACAAAAAAATTCCTTCCAGTAGCACCTTAAAGACCAACTAAGTTAGTTCTTGGTATGAGCTTTCGTGTGCATGCACGTGTGAAGAAGTGTGCATGCACACGAAAGCTCATACCAAGAACTAACTTAGTTGGTCTTTAAGGTGCTACTGGAAGGAATTTTTTTGTTTTGACTACTGCTAGGCACACTTCTTTAGAAGTCCCACGGGAAGCAAGCGTTGTTTCCAACAAGTGCTTTCCAAGCAAGTATGCCAGCGCTTCCTCCTTCTGCATTTGCAGTTGTAAATCTTTCCTCTGCTGTGACTTTTCCTTAGGCCAGGTAGGCAAGCCGTAGCCCTCCAGGCATTGTTGGACTGTGAGCCTTCTGGCCAGAGATGATGGGCATTTGAGTTCAAACAACATCTGGGGGGCCGTGAGTTTCCCATTAGGCAAATTGCTATCTCTCAGCCCTCCCTTCCCTCTCCCCCCCCCAATACACAATACAGACAATAGCAATGCTGACTGACCTTTCCGGCTTGTTGTCAGGATTAGCAAGTGGTCATCTCCAGACCATCAGTGTTTTGTGGGAGGGATTCAAGTGCATACCAGAAATTTGAGCAATTAAAGGGAATTAATGTGCTCTGTTGGCCTGATGAAACAAATCCTCTTACAAAAAAATCCTGACCTTTTTGCGGTTAGGAAAGTGGTGGGGGAGTGGACTGAAAAGTGTGGGATGGACAAATGATTAATGGGAAGATGAATAACTACCGAAAAAGCAAATCTGGATGAATTCAGGAGACTGCTCCTTGCCTTATAACCGCCCCATAAACAGATCTGAACGAATACTCAATAAGGACTATTGCTGAGGGAGAAATCAAATTCCATTTGCACTTAAAGGAAAATCCACCAAACTTGTGATTTCTGAAACAATTCCTGAACCCAACCAACCTTCAAAATTCACCTTTTTTGAATTTTGCAGTTTTGCAGGGCTCCAGCCAAGTAATGGCTACGAAAATGCACATATTAGGGTTAAAAATGCACATATTGTTGTTGGGGTGTGTGCGTGTACAAAAATGCATTGTAAGAGGGAAAAATTCTTTGCAAAAATAGGGCAAATTCGCATGAAAATGCTGGTGATTTTTTCTGAGGACTTAAAAAAAATCACACACTGTGGGAATGTGTAGAATAGAATTTAAGTTGGGGGGAAAATGCGAACTAGACAGAAAATTAACAGAAACTGACAGGGAAAATGTGAAACTAACAGATTTATTTTGTAAATTTTTGTATGCAATTTTGCCTAATATACACATTTTTGCAAAGCAGCTTTCCCTAATACAATACATTTTTCAAACAGAAAATATGCATGTATATGTACAGTTTGTATTTCTGTACACATAACTTGGCAGGGAAAACTGCATTTCAAAATTAGAAAAAGTGTGTAGTCTGCTGCACAGCTGCATTTTGGTTCACTTATTGTTTCAGAAAGTGAGAATTAGAAATTTTCTTTTTAAATGCAAACTGAATCATTTCTCTCCCCCATCCCAACTTAATCTCCTTACACAAGCATAGCTGAGCATTTTATATTACCAAATAAGAGAAGCCTTTCTTGTGAAGAATTTCAAACTGTAGGTTCCTCAGGGCAGTGACCTGTCTTTTTGTATTTCGTAAAATGTCATGTGTATGGCTGGTGCCATGCATCACTGTCAAGTGCAACACACATTGAGGAAGGAATGAAGGATGACAGAAATAAAGAAAATAAGAAAGAAAGAAGAAGTATAAACACTTGGGGGGGTTGACACTCTACCCTTTTAGGGGCATCTAAATCTAAATCTAAATCTAAATCTAAATCTAAATCTAATCCTCTGTGTGAACATAGAGGATTAAAAGAATGATGTTGTTGTTGTTTTGTTGTTTAGTCGTGTCCGACTCTTCGTGACCCCATGGACCAGAGCACGCCACGCACTCCTATCCTCCACTGCCTCCCGCAGTTTGGTCAAACTCATGTTAGTAGCTTCAAGAACACTGTCCAATCATCTCATCCTTAATTAAGAAAGTAGACTACGAGGCTAGGGAGAGAGGATTGTGGTTCCCAATGGCCGGTGGCTGGTTTTCCGGTTCTTCATTCACTCCTCATATTTCCTTTTGCTTGGTGACTTGGATATAATTTTTAAACTTAATTGCATATTGTTGTTCTTGTTGCTATTATTGTTATGCCTCAAATGCGGTTCAGGCGGTTGAAAGTCTATCGGTTTGGAAACAAAATGGGGCCACCCAAATATAGGATGGTGCTTTTTATATACTCTGGGGATTTCCAAGTTTATAAATTTGCAATTTAGAAGGAAAAGAAAAGTTAATCTTGCAAAAGTTGGCTGGAAGGACCTGTGAGCTTCCAGAATGTATGGAATGCTGTGGTGGCAAGAGAGAGAAGAAGAAGCTGGAAAATTTTTTTGGGGGGATAATAATGTCTTAGATGGGGACAGGATTAGGGTTGTGGAATGCATGCTGTGAGATTAAAAAAACACCCATGGATGTTTCAGGAGAAACAAAAGGGAAAAGAATACATTTTTTCTTTCCCTCTCACCAAAACACTTCCCACCCCATTTAGCTACAAAGTGATTAGATTCAGGGGGTGGGCAGCCCCCCAGGGTTTGAAATCTCTAGCGCTGTAGGGCAGAGCAGGGGAAGTCTTCCAGAGAGGTGAGAGAAGACTTCTTCCTTTCCCTCCTTCAGAAGAAATCGTTCCCCCCTTCCTACTATCACACTCTCCTGAGAGGCCTGGACAAGGCTCCTGTTCCATGCTGGCTACTTATGTCCCTGAAAAGCACCATTCCTCTTGGGGTGGGGGTGCAGAAATACGCTGCAGTTTGTGTTGCAAGCATCACCACCTGCAACCTTGCGTAGATTCCTGGATTTCTGGAAGGGGAACGAGGCCAAGCAGGTTGTCAACAGGTGTTCCATCACAGTGACACCTGTTCAGAACCTAAGAATGAAAATGGGACCTGTTGCAGAATGATGTGCTCTCTCCTTGGTGTGCTCCATATAGTCTCTGTTTCTTGCTTCCCTTGTTCCACCTGTTGCTCCTGCTGTTTCTGGCTCCCGATTCCTCACCCCCTTCTTTGTTGCTCCTATCTCCCCCCCCCATCTCATCTGTTGTCCCCCTTTCCCTTCTGTCTCTCGCTCTTCCGGCTGCTCCTGTCTTCCCTCCACCACCAATTCCTTTCTCCTGGTTCTTCCTCCTCCCTTCATACACAGAGGAGAGCCATTGAAATGGCTTTCAAATGCCTGATGCACAAGCCTTGCTTAGAACAGGAGATAAGAGTAACTGAGCAGGGTGAGTCAACTGAGCAGGGTGAGTCAGGGAGCATGCATGCTCAGCAGACATGTATCATTCGGGGGAATTTGCCCCTTCTAGGGGGTCTGGCTTTAATTTCTTTTGAAACTTGAATGCAGATTTCCAAAAAATAGCAAGGAGAGACAAGAAGGCCTTCTTAAACGAGCAATGCAAAGAAATAGAGGAAAACACAGGACTTCCGGGTTGGCGCGATCCGGGAATGGCGGATTCCCTCCGAGCTCCGGAGGGAATCGGCTCAGCGGTGGATGGGTCTTTGCCGTGCCGGCGACACGGGGACCCTTAAAAACCGCAGGTGCAGATGCCTGCGGACTGAAGACTCGGCGGGTGCCTTAAGCGCCCCCCCTGATTCGCGAAGAGCCTTTTTAAAGGCTATGGAGGGGATACGGGGGACGGCGCGGCACTGAGAGTCGATCGCTACCGCCGCTGAGCGAAGCCGCGAGCCATAACTGGAGAGCGCTGACTTCCTTCCTTGAAATTCGGACTGAAAAAAAAAGAACCCGTGAGTAATTTGGAACTGAGCTTTAAAAACTTTTACCTTTTGAATTTGAGACGACCGGGGGGTGTGCCAAAAGGAAGTCCCCATCCCCCCCCCTTGCAGACGATCCAGAGCAACGACATAAGAGCTAAGCTGGAGTGCCTACCCTGTAAAGGGTGAGTTTTAAAAAAAAAGACAGTAACTTCCAAGATTTGGAAAAGTAAATTTAAGCAGGAGAGTGGAGTGTTGGAAGAGTTTTTGTTTTGTGGTAAACAACCCTCCCTCCCGAGCCCGGGAGCGATCTGCTTTGGAGCCTGTATAGAGGAGCAGAATTTGACAGCTGTCAAAGCTGTCAAATGGACTGTTAATACTGAAAAAATTGCTACTTAAGACCTCTCCGGATAAAAAAGAGTTACAATTGAACTAAAATTTTGGGAAACAAAGAAACAATAATAGGACAGAGGATTGTTGGAGAAAAGACCATCCAGTAACCAGATTCCCTCTAGGGGGAATTCTGTGGAATTACAATGGCTGTGGGTGGAAAGATACTGAGAGAAATCGAAAGGATGTTTTTACTGGTGGGAACCTTACAGGAGCAGACTACAGCTATGAGTAAACAACTGACGGCCTTGGATTTGGAAACAAGTAGCTCTGCTGAATGTAATGAGGATTTGAATGAGAAAGAACCCACAGCTGAATTTGAAATAATAAACAAAGAAGAGGAGAAGACAAAACAAGAAAGAGAACAAGTTATGTGGGAAAATGCTAACCAGAAGCCGATATTTGGAGAATACAAACAAGGAGACCATTGGATGGAATCTATTCCAAGCCTACGAAAGATACAGAAGATGAAAGTGGAGGCCCTGGGAGTTTATGGAACTCAGGAACTCGAAATAAAGAAGTACAATTGGGGCCTCCACATAGACTTTGATTTTGACCATCATCAAGACTCAGGCCTTGTGGAAATTCCTCAGCAGTTGCTTATAAATATGGGAAGAGACTATGGACTGATTGGATTGAATGTTAATGAAATCTTTCGAGACTCGATGACTGACAAAGAGGACTACCAACAAAACCGGCGGAGAGGGACTGAAATAGATTTGAGAGCCTCGGATGTGCGGAATCCAGGCTAAAAACTGTTATTTTGGACATGTCTTGGGAAAGGACGCAAAGCGGGGATGGGAGGGAGGGAAGCATAAACTTAAATAACACTCAAGACCAGGGGTTTAGTAATAAGGAAATTACTTAAGAAAAAATGAGAAATCGAGGGAAGAGAATTGGGGTCCAACTTAGGGAAAACTTATTTTTTGCTTCTATAAAAGGACTAATATTAAGAAGGAAGAAATGCTAACTTGCTGACATAAACCTGGGAACAGGGATGCAAGGGAGGGGGTGGGGGGAAGTCAAGGACTAGGGTTAGAAAATAAGACTTTTTGGAACTATTCATGTTTGCTGTTGTTTTTTTTATGTTTGTTTTGGTGTTATGTGTTTTGTTTTTGTCTTTATAAAATGTGAAAACCCAATAAAAATTATTAAAAAAAAAAAAAAGAAAGAAATAGAGGAAAACAACAGAATGGGAAGAACCAGAGATCTGTTCAAGAAAACTGGAGATATGAAAGGATGTAGTAGCAATATTCCTGTTTTTCTGAATGGCTCACGGTTGCTTGGCAGCAATCTTGGGGCACCTCCCCTTCGATTGTCCAGCGTTCCCTCTGTTGCCCATCAGGAGGCAGATTTTCTCATGAAATTACGCTTTGTTGTTGTTGTTTAGTTGTTTAGTTGTGTCCGACTCTTCGTGACCCCATGGACCAGAGCACGCCAGGCACTCCTGTCTTCCACTGCCTCCCGCAGTTTGGTCAAAGTCATGCTGGTAGCTTCGAGAACACTATCCAACCATCTCGTCCTCTGTCGTCCCCTTCTCCTTGTGCCCTCCATCTTTCCCAACATCAGGGTCTTTTCCAGGGAGTCTTCTCTTCTCATGAGGTGGCCAAAGTATTGGAGCCTCAGCTTCAGGACCTGTCCTTCCAGTGAGCACTCAGGGCTGATTTCCTTAAGAATGGATAGTTTTGATCTTCTTGCAGTCCATGGGACTCTCAGGAGTCTCCTCCAGCACCATAATTCAAAAGCATTAAGCTTTAGACAAGGGCTAAAGGAAGAGTCTAGGACAGGAGGGTCCAGGCCTGAAGGTGTTAAGTAAAATCAACAGAGGGCCAAGTGGCGATTTTAGAGTGTTCATCCATGCAATTAGGAGCAGGCCTGAGCATCTGGTGCCACAGTCCCCCCGCCCCACTGCCTTCGGGGAGCAGGATGCTGTGTGTTCTCAGCACAAGCTGATTGAGGAAAAACACTGAGTTAGCATGAAATGACAGCTGTTTCAGGGCTGGCAGGAAATGGCAGTGGGAGATCTGTAGGGGGTGCTGTGCTGCAGGGAGTGAGATGCAGGCCAGGAAGACATGCTGTGCTGTCAGGAAGAAGGATGAATTGAGTACTGCTTTGTTTATTAATTTTTTTGTTATGTGTGTCCTGCTTTATTAACACCTGAAATGTGTGGTTGTACCATGGGGCTTTGCTGAAAATTAAGTCAGGTTTGTCAGCAGCAAGCTAGGCTAGCACATTATTTGCATCTCAAAACTGCTCTGTGACAGCTGTCAGCATCTAAGGGCAGAGGTGAGAAGAGTTGACGTTTTGGGAAATAAAGAAGTATTTATTTATCCTATGGCACTTTTACCCCATACAACGTCTGAGGTTGATGGGGCAGTGCCCCATTCACCCTAATGGTCCAGCCTCTACTAGTTCCTAGTCAGACAACACGCACTCATGTGCTTTGCATGCAGAAACATCCAGGTTCCATCTCCGACATCTCCAGCTGAAAGGATCAGATAGCAAATGGTGAGGAAGACCCTCCATCTGCCTGAGCCCCTGGGGAGCCACTTGCCAATGTGGCTAGAAAGACAAATGGACTTACCTGAACCTTTCCAAACCAAATATCATAACCACATCTTTGCATAATGGTTTCTGAGATAGCCGAGCAGGTTTTTGCTTATGTTTGGATCCAACTGGATGCCAGGCGGATCAAACCTTTCAGAACTGCACTGATGCTAACCAATTTTGCATCATGGTTCCAGAGATCACGGAGCTGGTTTCCTCTATGTTTGGATACAACTGGGTGCCATTTTGAATCTTTCAGGAAACTGCCCCGATGTTAACCATCGTTTTCAAAATTGGATTATTATTATTTTGTTTTTTCAAATTTCCAAACAATGCCGAGCATGGGGCTGCTAGCGAGTTCTAGCTCAGGAGCAGGGAACACACGCTTTGACTGCAGAAGGCATCAGGCCCCATCCCTATGACTGCCTGCAGCAGCAAGTGGTGTGAATTGTCTTCACTGGAGAGCCACTGCCAGTCAGAGGGGAAGGCCGAAGCTCAGCGGTAGAACATCTGCTTTGCGTGCAGGAGGTCGCAGGTTCAATCCCTGGTGTCTCCAGGTAGAATTGGGGAAAGATTCCTGCCTGAAACCTTGGATTAGTGCTCCTCTTTCCTTTTCTCCCACAGTTCAAACATGTCCTGACAGTGAGCTTGTTGCCAAACATAAGGAAGAGATGGCACCCAAAGGAAATACAGACCACAGAGTGGGAGAGACCGAGAGCTGCCTATGAGCTAGCTGTCTGCGCAGCCACTCACCCTAGCAAAGAATCTCCAGGTGTTGCTGGACTGCAGTCGCCATTGGACATGCTGGCTGAGCCCAACAGTATCTAGAGGGCCACAGATTCCCCGTCCCTACTCTAGTGCAAGGAGAGGGTCACCCTTTTCAAAATCCCCAGACTTGATGAACAGTGGGGCTAATATATTTAACGCACATGATTTCCCCACCAAAGAACCCCAGAAACTGTTAAGGGTGCTGGGAATTGTAGCTCTGTGGTGGGTAAACTATAGTTCCCAGTGATCTTTTGGGGAAGCCATGTACTTTAAATGCTTGTGACATATGCAGCCCGTGTGTCTATGATCTCCTCTAGAAAGCAGCTCTGTAGTTAATAGTAAGGGAGCAATGCCTCCTTTTGTGACATAAGTCATTTTGGCTGTGTCCCTTCCCCTCAGTAACAACCTCCCCTGGACATATTTTCATAGGACTTTATTTGAAAGGTAGATTCCAGTAAAAATCCATGCATTTTGTTGTTGTTGTTATGACAGACAGACTGTTGTTTTTATTTGTATTGTTTTTCCCCCTTCCTCTTGCTTTATTCACCAGTAAGTAGCACAATCAAGTGGGTTTTTCCCCTCTGGAAAAAAAAAAATGTTCTTGTATTTTTGTCTTTTTTTTAATATGAAACCCACTTTTATACAGAAAAAACTTAGAACAGGTGAGGCTTTTCCACTGAAAGGTTTTCTTTCTCATTGCACATTTTAAAACGTACACTTTTCCTCTCAAATTTTAAATAGTTCATCCTCTCACATTACCACAAAAAAGGAAAAAAGCCCACCTCCTTACACAATTCGAAGCGGCCCCCCCTCCGAAAAAAACTATACACTTTCATTTAAACAAATGAGGGGGGGGGGGAATACTACTTCTTAAAAGGCAGGAAGAAACAGTAAAGAGACAATCACAGTTTCTAACTGTTTTTCAGACATGGCTTTCCCATAAGATTAGCTACTGAAAGACGAGAGTGTAGTCTCTGACAAACCTCTTACCAAGCAGTATTTCTATTACCCAAGCACTTAATTCTTTTGAAGTTTTAACATATTCTCTTTGACAATAAGGCTAAATCAAACCGTGCTGTATTCAGGGATCCTTGAATTCTTCATAGGTTGACCCTTAATTCTTCAGTCGGAGAATTTCAAACCAAAATTCTTCACCTGAATTTTATGTCAGCTGGTTTATCAGCCAGACAGTAAGCATGCTTGATCAGAACGAAGTCCTACTGCTTCTCATTGTGCTTACCTTCCTAGTAAGTGCGTTTAAGGTGGCAATTGTCTGCACCACCCTTTCCAAAGTCATTTTGGTTTGGTTATACAATTTGGTTAGAGTTTTATTTTAACATATATATTTTTATATATTTGCCGAATGTGAGATATTCTGTTCCATAGTTTTATTCATGGAGAAAGAGAAGTGGAAATCGGGTGGCCTGTCTTGTCATTTTTTACATTTAGTTTTTCATTTCTGCCTTCTCTTCCCCTTCCCCTCCTCCTTCCCCCTTAATGGTGAAATATATCCATTTTGTTAACATCTATTTATTGTAACTCTTCCCTGAGTCCATGTTTTAGGGTCGCTATAAAAATAAATAGTGTGGTTCTGATCTGACACCCCTGCCGCCAGTGCTGCCAGAGTAGGCCTTAATTAACCTGGCACTGTAGTTAGAAGAGTTTGAAGAAGAGTTTGAATTTGATATCCCGCTTTATCACTACCCGAAGGAGTCTCAAAGCGGCTAACATTCTCCTTTCCCTTCCTCCCCCACAACAAACACTCTGTGAGGTGAGTGGGGCTGAGAGACTTCAGAGAAGTGTGACTGGCCCAAGGTCACCCAGCAGCTTCATGTGGAAGAGCGGGGATGCGAACCTGGTTCACCAGATTACGAGTCCACTGCTCTTAACCACTGCACCACACTGGCTCCTTCGGCTCTTGCTGCAGATGCAGGATATGTGAGTCCAACCCCCGAGAAAAGCAGTCGGTAAAACTAGTTTCTGGGAGATTATGTTTCCTAAGGAGATGGAAAGGGGTATACATTATACATTGGGCCACTTGGGATCTTGCGGCACCCGGTCAAAAAGGAAATCCATCCGGATCGGCAGTGAGGATCTGCAGACCCGTTTCTGCATGCAGAAGGGGGGAGCAAAGTCGAGCATGGTTCAGGATCAGGATACCAGGATTGTAAAACCGATTGCTTGCCAGTTGGCACAAGTTCCGCTGGGGAAATAGTAATCCCACTGTTGTTTAAAAAAAACCAAAACAACCAACGTAAATCAACCAAGTCCTAAGAAACTTCACAATCATTTTGTTCGTCTTCTCATATATATGTGTGGTTTTTTTGTTGTTGTTTATATCTATCTATCTATATCTATCTATTTATATATTTATAATACATGTAAAAATTCTCCCTAGGATGCTGAATTGGGGGTGGGGGGTAGGTAGGGATGAGCAGAAGTGTAAGCCATTTCTATTTTTACTTCTTGTTTCATTTTAAAAGTTCTTCTTCCCAATATCGAAAAGAAGATTAAAAAAGGGGGTCTATCTATCTATCTATTAAATGGACGAGACAAACAAAGTCAATAATGACTGGTTGATTATCATTTCAATGGGCAAGGGGTGCCTGTGTAAATAGCAGGGACCCTCTCCTCCCCAGAGACCTCTTCATCTCAGGAAGAGCTATGGCTCAGTGTTAGAGATGGGCTGGAAACTGAAAAATACTACAGCCATACATGGACTAGAAGGAGATTGAAGCAAAGCCTAGTGGATTAGAAATACTTCTAAAAGCCACCAGGGGGCAGTCGGTCCTTTTGGATTTTAAAACACCTTCCCCGCCCTTAAAAAATAAATAAATTCTGGCACTGTGTTTTGGCACAAACTTTTTTGTCAGCCCTTAATTAAGCTGCAGTGAAGGAGAAGAGAGGGTTCCCTTATACCCGCTGAGGAACAAAACACCCTCTTGATCCACACTGCAGCCCCAAATTTGGCACAGTACGCTGTGGAAGCCATCTTGTAAGAGGCTTACGAGTGGAGGAGCCAGGGTCTTCAAAACATATACACACAAATGCACGTCCCTTTCAGATTCTGAATCTGGCTGCCCATTAGTGATCTTAACCAAGTAGGCAAGGAAAACTATCCTCCTTCCTCAAGCACCTCTGAGACACAACAGCATCCCCTCTTCTCCATCCCAATGTGGGGTGGGGAAAAGTCCATCTAGGTTATCCTTGAGGTGCCTGTTTTGAAAGGGCAATGATGTTTGGTTAAGTGTCTCTTAAGCTGTAGGAATGGCTGATCCCTGTCACTTCATTCATGAAAGCCCCCTGGTGAACATACTCCTCCGCTACTTTGCCCTCCCCAAGGTGTGAGGTGTGAATTTGGGTTCTGTTGGCGGGTTAGAAAAAAGGAAAGCAATGCGAGTTCACGGATGGATGAGGGAAGGGGGGGGGAGGAAATGCATGGATGGATTGTTTTCTCGCTTTGCAACTTTCTGACTCTCCCAACCTACTCTCTGAGCTGTGTCTTCTCTTCCTCTTTCCTCCTCCCTATGCCCCCTCCTCCCTTAACTCCGTCCCTACACTGGCGTTGTCTTCCTGTTGAGCGTGTTGGTGTTGGAGGAGGTGTCTTTGCCCAGGGTGCCAGTCGCCCCTGCTACACCAGGCCCAGTCACTGTGACGGTGACACCAGGGTCCTTGGGGAAGGTGTTGTGCAGCTGCAAGAACCCACCGCCACTGCCAGTTGCGCCCGACGCAGCCGCGCCCGTTGATGCCGTTTCGCTGGCACCGCCGTAGAGCGAGCTGACGTTGGCTTTGGAGGGGTCCCTCGATAGTGTGTACATGGAGATGTCAGTGGAAGGGAAGCCTTTGAGGCCCACCGGCGAGGTTTCTCGAGACTGCGATGGCTCGGTGGAGCGGGAGCTGGAGCGTGACCGGCGGCGGTATCGGAAACGGTAGCTGGGCAGGCGCAAGATGGCCGATGACGAGGAAGATGGGTTTTTCAGTAGCTCCGTGCGGCTCTTGCAATGGGCTTCCCGGTTCTTCTCAATGTATATGTTGACGGCCAGGACTCCAATCATCTCGGCCAGGATGAAGGAAAGGCCACCAAAATAAAAGGACCAGCCGTAGGAGTAGTAGCTCTTCTTCTCGTCGTCGCGTTTTGTGCCAGGGTCTCCGGCATTGGCTGAGATGTAGACGATGACACCGATGATGTTACTGAGGCCTGAGGAGTTGTGGAAATAAAGAACAGTGAAATGAGGGAGGCTGTGGGGTGGGCAGGTAGAGAAGGCAGATGGCTCACTGCATATGGAAATGGGTTAGAGAAAGATGAGAGCAGGAGGGGAAATGGTGGCAGTGAATGGATACGTCAGGAGTTGTCAAGGCTCGAATTGGGAGCTCCTGGCTCCGTACACAGCTGCCCTATATGTTGAGACACTGTGGCTGCACTGCCCTAAATCCGCCTCTGGTGGGATGAGCAGGAAGAGAAAGGAAAGATGATGGAATGCGTAATAAGGTAGAGGTAAATGGTTGTGAAGTTGTAGATGCATGCATGAAGTGATAAAGGAAGGGTGATAGTTTGGCAGAGAACTAAGCTGTGTACACATATCCAGCTTAAAACACAGCGAGGTTGTTCTTTTCACCAATTCAAATTGAAACTGGTTTGAGTGGGGGGATGCACTGAAATGCAGCATTTCATAAGAAATGGAAGAATTGGTACAGAAATGGAAGATAAGAAATGGAAGAATTGATAAAGGTAAAGAATGGAAGAATTGATAAAGGTAAAGGTACCCCTGCCCGTTTGGGCCAGTCTTGCCAGACTCTAGGGTTGTGCGCTCATCTCACTCTATAGGCCGGGAGCCAGCGCTGTCTGCAGACACTTCCGGGTCACGTGGCCAGCGTGACAAGCTGCATCTGGCGAGCCAGCGCAGCACACGGAACGCCGTTTACCTTCCTGCTGGTAAGCGGTCCCTATTTATCTACTTGCACCCGGGGGTGCTTTCGAACTGCTAGGTTGGCAGGCACTGGGACCGAACGACAGGAGCGCACCCCGCCACGGGGATTCGAACCGCTGACCATGCGATCGGCAAGTCCTAGGCGCTGAAGTTTTACCCACAGCGCCACCCGCGTCCCCTACATCATGTGTATACCTCTTCCCAAAGGTACACCTGGATGCAAAGCAAACGGAAGTGTATACACAGCCATAGACTGGGGGATAAAGTTTTTGGTGGATCTCTGTCTGTCTGTCTGTCTCTGTCTCTGTCTCTGTCTCTGTCTCTGTCTCTGTCTCTGTCTCTGTCTCTGTCTCTGTCTCTGTCTCTGTCTCTGTCTCTCTCTCTCTCTCTCTCTCTCTGTGTGTGTGTGTGTGTGAATTGACACACACATGTAACTACACTAGAGAATCAGAGAGGGATTCTTACCCCCACTCACCTGCAGCAACAAATAGGATGCCGGCACCTAGGATGATGTTGCGCTTGGACTTGTAGACACGGCTGGCAGCCACGCAGAACCCTCCCAGCAATAGCAAGATTGCACTTAGAATGGGGAAGATGCTTGAGGCTCGTACCACACCTGTGGGGAGGGGAAGGTAGGTTGGAGGAGATTACAATGCAGGAAATAATATATTTCTGAGAGCAGAGCTCTCTCCACAGAGAGAACTCGTCTCTCAGGGTGTGTTCTGAACCAGCCCTCCTCATCCTGACATGCAAGTTTTCTATGCATACAGGATGTCTTCAGAAAAAATCTAGAGGGAAAGAAGTATTTGATGGTGCAGTCTGTACCTTCACTCTGAAATGGTGGAATCCAGCAAGGTCAACGCCACAAGATTCTGCCGGTAGTTTGCTTTACATAAGTAATGCCCAAATCAATCCACAGCCTCTCTAGAGCCAACTTCATTTACCTGCCTGGTTTTATTGGTTGTAACACAGCATTGATGACTTGTGGCTACTGAGCTATGACACACCCTGTGTGCCTGTGTGTGGGCTGGAGAAGCTGTTGGAAACTGATGTGGGAAATGTTTCCTGTCGAAAGGTTAAAGATGCTGTTCATATTAATTATCTCCCCCACAACACTTTGGAAGGAGAGGTTGAAATTTTTGTAATTCACCTTGGACCAGTGCCTTGCCACAGTAATGGACTGGATGAGAGCCAGTAAACTGAAGCTCTATCCGGATAAGACAAAGGCACTGTTAGTGGGTGGTTTCCTAGACTTGATGGATGGGAGACTGCCTGACCTTGAGGGGATTACATTCCCTTTTAAGGAGCAAGTATGTAGCTTTGGGGTGCTCCTGGATCCATTACCATCACTGTCATGTGGCCTCGGTGGTGTGGAGTGCCTTCGTCTGGTGGCCCGATTACGCCCCTATCTGGACAGTGGTAGACTAACTTCTGTGGCCTACGCTCTGGTAACCTCTAGGTTGGATTACTGCAGTGTGTTATACATAGGGCTGCCTCTGAAGGTGGTTTCGAAGCTTCAGCTAGTGCAAAATTCAACAACCAGGTTGCTCACCAGAACAAGACGATTTGAACATATAACACTGATCTTGGATCGGCTGCACTGGCTGACAGTTTTTGGGTCCATTCTTCAGGACCTCAATACCTGAAGGACCACCTCCCCTCATACCAACCAACCCGGACCCTGCACCTGTCATCCAAGGCCCTCCTCTATGTCCTCCCTCCCCAAAATGTTTGGAAGGTGGCAACATGAGAATGGGCCTTTTCTGTGGTGGCTCTCCATCTGTGGAATGCTCTCCCCAGAGAGGCTCGCCTGGCACCATCATTACATATCTTTAGGCATTCCTTTTTACCCAGGCCTTTGGCCATTAAAAATCTATTGCCGGATTGTTTTATTATTATGCTATGTATTATGTTGTTATTATTCTGCTGCATAAATTATGTCCTTAACGTTGTACACCGCCCTGGGATCTTTGGATAAAGGGTGGTACATAACTTGAATATAAATAAATAGGCTTGTGCCACCTCTTAGAGTTGCACATAGAAAACTTGACTGTCCAATCACATTCCCTGAATCCATTCCCCACACTTCTTCCCTCCTGGCGTTCCCTAGCATGTGGCCATTTTTAATAAATCATCCTGCCCCACAAAGAAAAGCAACAATCAAAGCCCACTGGAACCAGACCTTGCATACCTGCCAACATTTCACGAGTGAAAATGTAAAGGGCACGCTTGTAACACTCTGATTCTCAAAGAAAGATTTACCGCCTCAGCACTCTGCGCCCCTTTATTATATGTTGATGAAGGCTCTAGTCCACCTCCTGTGTTCTGCATTTATTTTAAAGTCAGAGCTCTTAAACTGCAGCATGAGAAGGGGCAGGCTGTGCACTACATGGTGCCTTAGTGGTCATGCACAAACATTTATATATTTGCAGATACTCTAGTTCTTATTTGCCATAGGTCATCCCTGATTTTTTTGTTTTGTTTTGTACTCATCCCTCACAAATCACAATCTTTTCATTCCTTCCATCCTTTTTCTTTATTTTCCTTTTTGGCCTCTTGGGGATGTCTTGTTGGTTTCTGAGAGTGTGAGAACTGTCAGCCTTTGGAATTCTGCTCTCTTCCTGGAATCTCTAGAGGTTTCATGTCAGACTGAACAGTGAACACATCTTGTTGCTTTTCAGTGCATGTGCATGCATGCAAGGGTACGATGCAGTGTACAGCCAGCTGTTCTACACACTGCAGCTGCTGAGGTATATTTTGAAATGTTGGTAACTTATTGTTATGACAATTATTATTATTTTTCATATAGGTTTATTCCGTTTCAATTGTTTGTACATCACTTACTTTTTAAAAAATCCCTAGCTTTAACCAAGTGAGCAAGCAGTCTCCCAGCTATTAAATCTGTGTTAAGGGGCAGGCAAGTAAATGATTAAAGTAAGCAAGTCAATGACCAGGGCTTTCAGCAATGTTGTAATGGGAGGGAGGGTGGCTCAGACAGCTATCCTTGGTATGAGAGCTGGGGTGTAATAAGCATGTCCCTATTTTTGTCTGTGAAAATTGTTGGGAGAGTATGTGCTTGCCTGCTAGAGACAAAATGTATCTTACCCCTCACTCAGATATTTAAATGTCATGGGGGCCTCAGGAGGGAGACGAACCTTGATGAACAACAATATTAGTATATTTCACACATACTTTAGGCATCCTCAAAAGCTAGATCAGTCATTTAGGGCCCCACTCAGCAGAATTAGAGGGAATCCCAAACACAGAAGGGCTGGCATACCACATTGGCCTGGTTCACACATAATGCTAAGCCGCAGTCTATTTAACTATGTTTTGTTAAACCATGGTTAGCATTATGTTTAAACAGTGTCACAGTGACTGAACAATGTGGGGGCTTTTGGGCCATGGTTTCACTGGTGGAGGAAGGCGGGTGCGGGAGGTGCGGTGCGCACCGGATGTCAGCCGCGAGGGCGGTTGATATCGCCGTGCTAACCCCACCCCACGCTCGCTGCATGGGCAGCGCCCCTGGACACTCGCTGCGCAGACGGCTAGCAACACCCCTCCCAATGTTTATCGTGCAGGCGGCTAGCGGCACCCCCCCACGCTTGCCAGGCGGACGGCTAGCCCCACCCCCGTGCTGCCCTGGGTTTCGGGGCAGCTAGCTCCGCCCCTGCACGGTTTGTAGCCATAGTTTGTGGTTGGTATACAAACCCTGCTTTGTTTTAACTGTGACACTTTTCCATGGTTTGTTTGGCCCCTGCACTCCAGATGCTCACCAAACTACCAGGCCAGAGTAATTGGGAAACAAACCAAATTTGGGGGGAACAAGCCATGGTTTGTTTGACCATCTTTGGGACAAATTGTGGATAACTCATGGTTTGTTAAACAAGCCACAGCTTAGTGTTATGTGAACCAGGTCACTGTGAAGTAATACACCTATAGAGAGAGGGAAGTCGTAAGTCCAAAGTCTAAAATTACCTAACCGCGCCACTGGAATAGGGGCAGCAGTTTAACAGCGATAAGGTCCAGAAAAAAGAAGGTACTGCCTCTGATTAAGAGAGACAGGGAGCAGCATATGAAAAAAAAATTCAGAGTAGAAGAGTAGATTTACTTATGTGCAAGTGACTCCATCTTAACTCATGTCAAATCAGAATGGACTTTCAGAGGGACAACCAAGAGAACTCTCTTGCCGCCAGGGCTAATGTCAGTTCCAAAATGTGAGCTTCTGTGTCTCAGCTGTTAACAGGCATTGGAAAGGAGGAAGGCAAATCTGTCTTGCATTGTTTTTGGTTAAAGGGGAATGTGAAATGGCTGCTCCTCTTTTCCTTTGAAAAATATCAGGATATTATTTTAAAATATGTATCTATGTATTTATTTTAAATCATCTGTAGGCACAGGCCTGATGGAGCTGTTTAAGGGAAAGGTGAGGACTTCTGAGAAGAAGGAACTGTTAAGAGCACCTGGCAGAAAAGATTGTCATTCATAAATTCTTGGCTAATCTTTAATTGAAAAGACGAGAGTAAAAAGTAGTAAAACTATTAAGATGACATTGGCTTGCAGATAGAGAAGCGTCTCCAAAAATGCTTTGGTCATGAAGAACACCCATGTTGGGCAACAAGGCTTTGCCTTTGAGCACCCAATCCTAGAAATGTACATGGGATATTTGTACCCATCACTGGCCGGAAGGCTCTTTCTCCCCCACCTCCCTCTCACCACGGCAAGAGACTTGCTGTCCAGGTTAGTGTTTAGGGGCGACATTATTCTGGAAAAATATCTGCACCAACTTTTGTCATCCCCAAAAGTGTACCATAAGTGTGCTGTTTGAACCAAAGCTTTCATGAACTGAACTAGCCTTGCTAGCTGGCTTTGGGTCAGAGGAGGTGAGATACAGGAGGTCTCTGAATAAGATCTTCCATATGTGTTTTCTTATTGTTATTGTTATTATTATTATTATTATTGTGGTGGTGGTGGTCATTAAATTTATTACCTGCCCTTCACCAGCAGGTCCCATGGTGGGTTACAACAATATAGAATTCAGAATTAAAAACAGGTAAAACAGAATACAAGAATAGGATGGGCCTTGAAAACACACACCTCAGGTATCAAAGGCACTATTTGGTGTCAAAGGCACAATTTGGATTAGGACCTGAGGTCAGTATTGTGTCTCCAGCAGTGGCCAATGAGATGCCCCTGGAAATCTCATCTGGATGGAGGCTGTAGCCTGCTTTGGAATGGAACTATCCCCCGCCCCCTGGCTGCTGCTGCTGCCCCTGCCTGAAAAATAAAATCCACAGCCTGAGATTACTCCTAGATCCAGTTGGATGCCTGTCACCAGAAACTCTTTTCACCTGTTTGGCTGGTTTGCAAGCTGTGTCCCTACTGAGAGGAGGTGGATCTGGCCTCCGTTTCCCATGCACTAGTTACATGCAGACTGGCCTGTTCCATTGTTCTCTACAGGAGAACAATGCATCTTGGAATTGGTATAAAACCCAGTTGCCAGGATACTTGGTAGGAGCAATGCAGTTGAATCATATGCAACTTATGTGACCTCAAACGCAGTGGTTTCCAATCAGTGTTCAAGGATCAGTTTAAAGTGCTGATTAATAGCTTGGTCTCAGAACATTTAGGGCCTTAAAGATTATCTTTATATTTGCCCATATGAACCTGTCTAGGCTTAGATCAGCAAGGGAGGCTTTGCTCGCTGGCGCACCATTAGAAATTATTTGATTGGTGGGTACCACGGACAAAGCCTTCTCAGCCGCAGCAGCACTGTTGTGGCATTCTCTCACAGGGAAGGTCTAACAAGCTCCTTCCCTTCCCACTTTTAGACAGTGCTTGAATATGATTGACAGCACTGCGTTTTGCTGGTTTTGAATGCTGCCGTGTTTTTCTATTTTTGTGCTCTACTTGATTTCTAATACAGTATGTTATTGTTATACTTATTGTTCTTTGAATATAAGTCACTTTGGAAAGTTGGTTTGGCAAAAGGGGTATAAATTAATTAAATAAAAATAAATAGATAAATAAACAGAAACAAGGAGATAACTATCTATGGCCACATGCTCCAAGCACCTGGTAATCCGAGCTGTATTGCTTCTGAATATGGAGGATGCAGTTAGCTGTCATGGTTAATACCATTCCCCCATGAATGTCTAATCCTTTTACATGAATGACCTCCCGAGGGCTAATGTTACTTATATGCAAGCACACAGGCATTTCTCTCTCTCTCTCTCTCTCTCTCTCTCTCTCTCTCTCTCTCTCTCTCATCTCCTTCTGACCAGGCAGTTTGCATTTAAATTTACCTACATATGTGAATCAAGGCAGCACCCCGCCCTTTCCTTAAGAAAGTTTCATGAAAAAATTTAAATGATATTCAGGGCAGGGAAGAATTTTTATTTATTTATTTATTTATTTATTGCAGTTGCTTTTGCAAATTCAAGTCAATTAAATCACTGCAGAGCCCTAATTTGGCTGGAGCCTCTACCCCAGAGAGTAGTCAGCGTATTGATGATTCCAGCCCTGCATTTGGTATTTACCTGGCAGGGGAGGGGTGGGGTGCAAGAAGCCACTCAGCAGAACTGATGGAGAATCCTTGGCATTTCTGACACAGCTGCATCTACCCTGCCGCTGCCTCTTTATAACTTGTCAGTAATCCCCAGCATGAAGAAACGATGAGTGAACGCCTTCTCTGCAACATGGCAGACTCAAAGGAATCCATGGCACTGAGAAGCAACTCCATCCCTTTTGCAGTGCAGTAACTCCCCCCTCCCAGAAACCACAATATTTGATGCACTCCCCCCCCCCCCCGCTTTGATACGTAGGAGTTGCTGTCCATCTCCAGCTAAATCTTGAGGGCGGCTTCTGTATCTCAGCCCCAGCAACCTCTGACACTGAGATTCAGTGGTATTCAAACTCTGTTTCCCCTGGTAACGGAGAACAGTAGAGACACATTACTGCCGAGGCCAAGGCAGGGGAATGAATAAGCCCCCTATTTATACGTACGTAGGAGGTATTCCGCGCTGTCGTGATCGTAGTCTGTGTCCTCTGGAAAATGGTTGATTTTCACGCACACCCCTCGCTTTAGCCCTAGAGCAGAGGAAGACAGAGATGACCAGCATTCAAAGCAGTTCTGTGAACGCGGCTTGAGCTCAGAGCAGCGTTTTTTGATGCATCTCCTGGTAGTTGGCTCCAACTTCGTTGGATTTTCCGTGACACACAATGTTCCCTACCAAATCCCAAGCTCTTACAAAATCTCAGCGCAGTCTGCCAAGCCCCATTTCTCAAGGCAGGCCCAACCACTATTAAGCGCTACCTCATAGGAACAGAAGAAACTGCCTTCTACTGAGTCAGACAACAAATCCATCTAGCTCGGTATTGTATATGCTGGTCAGGGTTTCAGACCAGAGTTTTTCTTAGTCCTATTTGGAGATGCCAGGAATTGAACCCAGGACTTTCTTAGTGTAAGGCCGATGCACCACTGAGCTATTGCCCTTCCCAAGAAGCCACCTAGAGCACCTAGGGGCACTGGGGACCTTCTTCAGGCCTAGACTGGTAGGTTACCATAGTCACCAACATTGCTCTGATAGTCCCCCAGTAAGCTGAGTTACGACTGGCTAGTTGTAAGACCTATACCAGGCTTCCTCAACCTCGGCCGTCCAGATGTTTTTGGCCTACAACTCCCATGATCCCTAGCTAGCAGTACCAGTGGTCAGGGATGATGGGAATCGTGGTCTCAAAACATCTGGAGGGCCGAGGTTGAGGAAGCCTGACCTATACGGTGGTTGCCAGTTCATTTGGGAACGGTGTCTAAACTTAAGGCACAGGGCGAGTCTCCATTTCATTCTCAAGATGTGGTGATGGTCAGTGTCTTGGGTGGATTTAAGAAGGGATGCGTACTTTCACAGGTGACAGAGCCAGTGTGGTGTAGTGGTTAAGAGCGGTAGACTCGTAATCTGGTGAACCGGGTTCACTTCCCTGCTCCTCCACGTGCAGCTGCTGGGTGACCTTGGGCTAGTCACACTTCTCTGAAGTCTCTCAGCCCCACTTACCTCATAGAAAGTTTGTTGTGGGGGAGGAAGGGAAAGGAGATTGTGAGCCGCTTTGAGACTCCTTCGGGTAGTAATAAAGTGGGATATCAAATCCAAACTCTTCTTTTCTTTTTCTATCAATGGCTATCCAGCCACAATGACTAAATAAAATAGTCATATTTACGTGTGCCATTCACTAGGGTAAAGGTAGGGAGGGCTATTATCTTTGTGTTCTGCTTTTGGGCTTTTCTGAGCTGTCTGCTTGGTTGCTATGGGAAGCAGGATGCTGTGTTAAATGGTTCTGTGGTCCATCAGGACCCTTCTGATGTCAGCCTTCACCAGACCTGGTGGTCTCCATATGTTTTGGGCCACAACACCCATCGCTCCTCCACTGACCCTGCCTGTTCTCCTTTCTACACCAGGCCTTGTTGTCCTGTGCTGCTGAGGCATTCAGTCAGATAGAAGCAGGCCTATCACTATGATGTCACATTTAAATGGCACTGAATTTAGTGCTATGTTTCTCTTAACAATCTCACAGTGCCCATTCCCCATGGAAAAGGCAAAAGCAGGCAGCATGGTTGCACCAGCAGGAGTTTGGGTGTTTGTCGCTTTTTAATTTAATTTTTAAAATTCTTGTGCTTCAGTGCAAAAAAAGAAAAGCAAAAAAGGAATGAACATTAAAAAAACAGCCCAGAAAAAGGTGAATGACAGCCTGTTTAAAAAGTAACGAGGGAAGGAAGGGACTGCGTTGCAAGTAGGGATAAAAGAAAAAAATCAATTTTGTTTCTGTTTTGCCGAGAAACTACCCAGTGAACCAAAAGACAATTACTCTTTGAAATGTACATTTCTCTGAATTTTGCAATGCTGTTCCACACAACATGCACAAAAAGCATATATGGCAAACAAAAAATGCATTATATTAGGGGGAAATAGCTTGTACAAATATGTGTATTAGACAAAAATGCATCCAAAAATAAGTATTTTAGGAGAAATGTGCAAAATGAAGGTGACAATTCCCCCCATGAGGACTAAAAAATATATTCAGGTTGATGCAGAAACTGAATTTAAGACTGTAAAAATGAGAAACAGAGAGAGCCCAAATTGGACAGTTTCATCCATCCTTAGCTGCTGGCCATGTAATGATGGAAGCGTAGGAAGCCAATGCAGGCAAAAATCTTGCTAATGAGCAGCTTGATGAGGAAAAGGACGGGGGCTGAAATTAGTCTCCCTCTCTGGAGCTGATAATCTGCATCATTCCAACCTTTCTGAAAGGTCTCTGGAATTCAGGTACGAGTGGTAGGTAGTGACAGTGTAATGAAGGAATGCAGGGGCAAGTCATGCAGAGCTGAGGGGCTTCACCAACTCTGTCACCATCGCAGATTGTAGGCTACGCCAGGTGGGTCCCAAGTGGATCTGGTGAGCCAGAAGGGACCCTGAGGATAATCTAGTCCAGGCATAGGCAAACTCGGCCCTCCAGATGTTTTGGGACTACAACTCCCATCATCCCTGACCGCTGGTCCTGTTAGGTAGGGATGATGGGAGTTGTAGTCCCAAAACATCTGGAGGGCCGATTTTGCCTATGCCTGATCTATGCCTGCATATTCATTGCAGGAATATGCAGTTATCCCATATGGGGATGGAACCTGCAACCTCAGTATATCAACATGCTCTAATCCACTGAGCTATCAATGATTCTGTTTAGGGTCAGAGATATCACCACAAGTCGTGACTCTATAAAACTAGAGCACCAACAAGGGATTTCCTCTCAGTACGAACAGGGCTTCAGAGGCTTATTTAGGGCCACAGCAGGTGAGGGAAGCAGCTAGTGTGGAAGGACCCTAATTTTGCTCTGTGGGGTGTGGCAGCATGAGCAGGAGGAAGAGGGCAGGGGGCGCAAGCACCTGCAGACCTCTGAGCGTTTAAAGGCTTCCCTTTTTTTTTGTGAGAACCTGGGATCTTTGACTGAGCCTTGTGTGGGCAACATGGCAGCCTGTTTACTGTTATGTGGGTAGAGTGAGGAATTCTAGAGCAAGGAGAGAGCTTCATAACAGCAACAATATGTACTTGATTGCTGTTGGTGTCTTGCCCAGGCAGGATTGTGGTGGGTTTATAGACTGCAAGGGCCACATGGGGGAGGAGAGATGGGGCAGGTTTCCCCCCTCACTGCAGCTGTATCTCCAAGGACAGTGCTTAGGTTTTCTTTTGTAAGGTGACATGCTTTCCCAGTTACATAGGAGAAAGCAAAGGGGCACACTCCAGATTAGGGACTAACCCTGCTCCCTGCCTCTGGTGACCCCACCCATTAAGAATCACGCCTACTCCTTGCTCCATTGTGTATTCTGTTTCTTGGGCACAAGTGTGGCTGAATGGTGGGACAGTGGGGTGGAATGTTGGTGGCTGGCTTTTAGAATATATCTATATAGACAGATTCTTTCATTGCTGCTCCAGCTGCCTTCCTCTCATCCTGTCTCATCAACTGAATCTCTCAGTCAACAGCTGCTAGGCCATACTATTGGATATTGGGTTGCTGCCAAGCTTGCAGCTTAAGTTTGGAATTGTCATCCTTTGTCTCCATTGTGTTTTACAGAGAATCCAGATATTATTGCCAGCTTGTTGCATTCCAGTGTTTTCTTCAGAACCAATTTGTATTATTTCTATTCATTTATGCAATAAAACTGCTGCGTCAGCCTGTCTGGTGTGGAGCAGGAAACCATTAAACTTTTCTGAGCTACTGTGCCTTTAGTTAGAAGCGTCTGTCTAGTGGCTTCTGCCTCTTAATTGCTTCCCATTCAGCATGGCTGGTGAATTGCCCTGTAATTAGCCAGCTTCTATTCCCCGTAAATGCCGGGGGAGGGGGGGTGTTGATGACTGGTATCCTCTCATATTTTCTTCCTCTTTTCTTATTGTGAAATAACTTTATTTTACAATACGGAAGACAAAATAATGAGGGAAATCAGTAATCAAACCCTCCCACCCCACAGGGTAGGAACTCACTAATTAAGAGCAATTAAGAGGATTCATAGCTAATACTGCTGACACATTACATAGGAAGCAATTAGAGGTAGAAGCTGCAAGGAGAATCATAGAAGAGTTGGAAGGTACCCTTAGGGTCATCTAGTCCAACCCCCTGCGATGCAGGAAGCTTCCAAGTAAAGTTGCAGGGGGTGTCTGCTGAATCAAGCTTACATAACATTTTGCAACAATCTTAGCCATGAGCAGAACCACCACCTGAATTTTCTTTCATGCTAAGTGGGGGAAAGCAGTGCCTCAGCAGTACTAAACCGCCCTTGTGTGTAGATGCCCTTCATTTTTAATCAGCACTGAACTACAAAGATTTATGCTTTAGGACCTAGGCCCAATACAGTGGTGCCTCACAAGACGAAAATAATCCGTTCCGCGAGTCTCTTCGTCTAGCGGTTTTTTCGTCTTGCGAAGCAACCCTATTAGCGGCTTAGCGGATTAGCGCTATTAGCGGTTTAGCGGCTATTAAAGGCTTAGCGGCTTAGCGGCTAAAAGGCTATTAGCAGCTTAGTGGCTTAGAAAAAGGGGGGGAGCGAAAAAAATCGCAAGACTCGCAAGACGTTTTCGTCTTGCGAAGCAAGCCCATAGGGAAAATCGTCTTGCGAAGCAACACAAAAACGGAAAACCCTTTCGTCTAGCCGGTTTTTCGTCTTGCGAGGCATTCGTCTTGCGGGGCACCACTGTACTTTTCTCTGGAGTTCTTTCCACTAGTTTCATTTCCTCTTCTTCCAGCCTTTTCTCATGCTAGATGAATCGTACACTAAGGGCTTCTCCCTTGTCGCATCTTTGTTATTATTTGCTCCAGCTTGGTGTACTGTCCTACAATTCTCCTGTCTCCCTCTCCTTATTTTCCAGTGTTCCCCCCCCCCTAAACCTGCTTTTCCAGAGAGGGTGTTCAGATTCCTGGCTAGTGGCCGCCCCTGAATCCTATCCCAGAATTCTATTGAATGGATTAACAACGTTTGGACTGCGCCCCTCACCTTCTAAGCAGCATATCCTCCAGAGGCCTGAATGGGTGAGCCCTCCGGGATCTTTCTTGTCTTTCTGTGGGGTTTCCTCAGTAGATATGTTGGTGGTATTGCAGATGAAGGCACGGGCATACAGCCAGTAATCTGTGCCAATGGCGATGATCATGAGGCCAAAGGCTGCAAATGCCCCCACAGTGGTGAGCAGAATCTGGACACCTTTCTCACACCAGACCATCCTCTCCTCATTCCAGCGTTTAAGTGACTCCAGCTTGGCGGCAAGAAAGAAAACTGGGAGTGGTGAAGGAAAATAGTGGTGGTGATGCTTTCAAGGAAGCAGGTGATGAGTGCCTTGTCTGTTGTGGTCGGCTTCCTCTTCCAGTGGGCAGAATCTAAAAGCACAAGAGCTTTTGGAAAATGGCACCAGGGGACTATTGTCTTTCACCAAGTTCACTGTGTAGAAGAAACCGGGATATAAGATGGGCTGGGAAGGTTGTCCTACAACTGTTGCAAAACCCTAGGGAATCCTGTGAAGAACACAAGCAGAGCTCCTTCTGAATTGCTTCTGACTATTAGATTCTCTTGAAAGTGCTCTCTTCAGATATTCTGTAGAATATGTAGTTGGACTTCAAGATAAGTTTCCAGAGAAGGTGCGATAATTTTTGGAGAATAGCTGGGAATTTTATGGATGGTTTCTGAGGAAATTCTGGAGATCTGTCAGACAAGTTCTCTGGAGGCCACAGTCAGAAGATGAAGGCTTGGGTAGCAGTTGGAAATAGCCAGGGGAGGATAACTGAAGAGTTTCTGGATCACTGTTGTGCAAATCCTGAAGAGCAGGTAGAAAAACCTCTGGGAGGCTTCATCTGGATTGCATCTAGATGCCTATTGGTGGAGTACTGGAAGGCTACTATGGAATATCTAGGTACCTACTGGAGATTTTCTGGGAGCTTGCAAGAGCCTTTCTGGAGGTGTACTAAATTACAACTGGAGAGCTACTAGAGATTTCTGGGGGGAAATCTGGATCGCCTCTAGGTGGTTCTTCTTCTTCTTCTTCTTCTTCTTCTTCTTCTTCTTCTTCTTCTTCTTCTTCTTCGACTTTCAAATATATTTTGTGGTAAAATTCTGTTTCTTCTTAATATGCAGCTTCAGCAAGTTTCAGGGAAGCCTAGAAATGTTTCCCGTTTCTTTATGCCAAGTTTACTTGACTTCCTTTTTTTAAATGTGCTTGTCCTCTGTTTCTTCCTTTCGGGTTTCTCTGAGTTTGGGAGACTTTGAGTTTCAGCCTCTGCTCTTCAGTTTGAGGCACACGTCGGTTTATGTGGATCGCTTGATCTCTCTGACTCAGCTTGACATGGAGCCAACTAGCTGTGTGACTTAATGATTTCTGGGCAAAGGGGAGGAAATGAAGAGAGAAGGAATTGAGTAAAGACATGCAGAGGGGGAAAGTTTTTAGCCCAATCCCTGATACCTTGGTGTTCATTGCAGGTATTCTGGTCCTCAGATAAACTATTTATTTATTCATTTTATAAATTATTATTCATTAAATAAATCAATAGTTCATCTAGTGATTTGCACTCCTATCCTTATTGCTAGTGGACTTGGTGGTTTACAATATCAAAACCAGCAACAACTGCAGAAGCAGGAGAAAATGAGTGTAAAAATAATGTAGGCACCTGTAAACAGCAAAAGGCAATGAAAAGGGCCTCAGCCATTAGTCAAAGCTATTAAAGGCATTTGATAACAAGACATTATTAATTTAAACAACAGTATATAGTTTGGTGAGGTGGTGCTTAAAATAATTCAAGACCGAATTTCCCAGCTCTGTGTCCTTCCTTCACAAACATGTACTTTCCCTCAGCACCATAGGCTAGTTGCCCTCTGATGGGTTCTTCTCAGACTTGTATTTTACTTTCTTCCAAGAGTAAAATAGCTTTGCAGTCATCCGGGGTGGAGGAAAGAGGGTGCGGTGGGGGTGGCCGCCCCGGGTGTCACTACTGAGGGGGGGTGACAAAATGCTGGGCAGCACTCACCACGGGGCCTGCAGCGTGCCCGAGCCATGCGTCTCTCCTGGGAATGATGCGGTGGCTTGGGCGCCCGCAGGCTCTACGCTGCCCCAAACGGTCCACCCGCTGTCTCCCCCTCAGCTGTAGGGCGGCTGAGTGGGAGGAGGCAGACAGACTCCTCGGAGGCCCCGTGGAGCGTCCTGCCCCGGCTCACCCTGCCCCACACGCGGCTGGCCCCACCCCTGGGCGCAGGGCACGCACACTGCCTGAGATGCCCAATTGACTTGCTCCGCCGCTGCAGTCATCCCCATAATCAGGATTTTTCTGTGCCTCGTATAGAATCTTCTGTGAAAGGAAGATGCACTTACAGTCCCTATCACCATGGCTGCGTAGACACATGCATTTAAAGCACACACATGCCAAGAATAGTGTGAACTGCAAGTTCCCCCTCACAGAGCTATAATTCCCAGCACCCTCAAGAAAGTACAGTTCCCAGGATTATATGCAGGTGGGGGCATGTGCTTTAACTGTGTGGTATATTCGCAGCCCATGTCTAATTTGGCCCACAGAGAGCAGGTGAAGAGGCAAACTTCCTTCTGGGTGGTTCCATATCTCAGAGGTGGATTTAGGGGAGCGTGATCAGTTCGCCTGCGCTGGGTGCCAGGCCAAGAGGGGGCCGCAGGGTCCCCTGCGACAGTGACTTACAACAGAAGGCAAGAGGCCGGGGAGGCACTGAATTTTGGCGTTGCACAAGACGTTGCTGAAATTTGAAAGCCCAAACTCCGCCACAGGATTTCTAATTGCAAATTGGCGTGTGTGTGTGTGTCACATGAATAACTGCTTCCCTCATACTGCATATACATCTGTTTGTGGGAAATATGCCCACAGCCACACTGATTTTTATGGGGATATATGCAGATTAGTTTGAGAGATGGCTTAAACATGCAAACTCCTTTTCAGGCGTTAAGCCAAGAAACATAAAGCAACACTAAAAGGGTGCTTCTCTGTCTAGCATGTGCATAATGAAGATCCTTCACCACCGAATACGCAGGACTACCAATTAGAGTCCTTTCTATCAATTGCAGGTTGGCCAATTGCAAGGGAACATAATTATATTTTTCCAGCTATGTTTATGCAGTGCATACCCAAGCCAACATTTGTCAATGGAATAAAACAAAAATATATATAACACATCAGGTGGGACCATTTATTTCTTCACTTGCTGGGTGACCAGGCACAAGAGACTGCCTCTGATCATGTGCCGAATTCGCAACCATTGAATTGTCATAGCAAGCCCCTATGAATCAGAAGGGGCAGGGATTGGATTTCAGAGAAGAGGTCTGTGGCTTCTGCAGAAATTTACGCTTATTTCAACTTTAAGTACTTAGTACATAATCTACACCACAGGTGTGAATTGGTTTCACAGTCATTCCCTTTCTGCAAGCCTGGACCTTAGGAGTCTGTGAGATCTCAAACAGAATACTCTGCCCCTGTCGCCAAACTAAAATTCCCAGGATCCTTTGGGGGAAGCCATGAATGTTAAGCAGGTATAGAATTAATACAAATTTGAAGCGGACCCGTATCCTTGTTAGTTTTGTATGAAGATTGCTGTTCCACTGTGCCTCATCAACACATTGCACCCTTCGAGACTATTGCTGATTTCAAGAGGGGTTCAGTCAACATACTGACCAATTCAGGTTGCAGCATGAAAGATGACTTGCTGCTCCTGTGAAACAAACCTGCTTTCCCCAAAACCACATTTTTTTTGCAATAAAGAAAACGTCTGCACTGGAAAGTGTGGGATAACATTTGCTTGATGCAACGACATCTAACCTCTATGCAGACAAACCATAATGAATGCTCAATAAATAGCAAATGTCATCTGACGTCACCATCAACTTTGTGCAAATAGATCAAGGTGCGTGCTCAACAGTGGCGTAGCGTGGGGGGTGCAGGGGGGGCCGGCCACACCGGGCGCAACATCTGGGGGTTAGGGGGCGCAAATCCACTGGTTAGGGGGCGCAAATTACTTGCCTTGCCCCGGGTGCTGACAACCCACGCTACGCCACTGGTGCTCAATAAACAGATTGTCTGGAAGTGACTACTGTGTGAGGATACACCATGCAGGTTTTAAACAAAACTTGGCTTATTTTCTTAATTCCTTTCAGCATAGCACCCAGCCTTTCTCTTTCATCTTTCCTTCTTTCTTCGGTTTATTCCCACACCCGCCTCCACACCCTCAGTATCCTGGAAGGCCCAGTTAACAAAGTTTAAGGGGATGACTAAAAAGCAGTTATTGGCAAGAACTTGGGCCTTGGGTGGTAAGTGATCATCTGGCTCCACCTGTAATGATACAGAAGGTATCAGCAAATTTGCAAATAGGCCACACATTTATGAAGCTGAAGTACTAAACAGATGAGATCTAAGGTCTTGCAAGCCAACTGTACAGAAGTAGCCTAAGGCTACACACCATATATGTAAAGCATATTCTTCTCCTACAAAGAATCCTGGCAACTATAATTTGCTAAGCGTGCTGGGGACTGTAGCTCTGTGAGGTTCCCAGGATTATTTCGGGGAAAGCGTGTGCTTTAACTGTATGGAATTCAGAATTTACCAAAAGAGAAGAGTGATCCCAAACATAGAATATGAGGCATCTTGTTTTAGCTTTTGTGCAGATTTAGTAACGTTGCCAACCAAACAGAAAAGGGGAAAGCAATATATTCCACCCTTGTATACCTTGCAGTTCTTACTTTGGGTTCTTCCTCGGACAAGCCCAAATCTCCAGCCCTGCCAACCACTTTGGAGTTTTGCCCAGACCCGTCAAAATTTCACAAGTAGCAATGGGAACACATTTAAATCTGAAATGCCTTGAGCAGTGCTGTTTTTTTCTGGGGGGTACGCAGGGGTACGCATACCCCTAAACATTTTGTGAATCTAAGTTTGGCCTCATTGAGGGGCAGTATTTCAATATGAGTAGGAAAATGAGAATACGCCTAAACATTTTTTTAAGAAAAAAAGCACTTGCCTTGCGTATATTTTAATGGCCGACAGAAAAGTGGAGAGCCACCCCCAGGATGCATACACATAATACCTTATCAGTATTGTTATATATTTATTTATATCCCAACTTTTCCCCTCAAGGTGGTTTACAGATAAAATAAGAGCAGATAAAAACATGAGGGGGTAATTTAAAAAACCAATTATGTTTCTAGGGGTTCCAAGTGCTTACCCAGGGTTCGAACTTCACGGAATGAGGGACAGCATAGACTGCAGTGTCTTTAGGATGTGTTATTTATTTATCCTACTACAGAACTGCTATTCCCAGCACCCACTGCAAACTACATTTCCCAAGGTTCTTTTGTGAGGGTGGGAATGAGTTTTGTATATGATTTCAAGGCATGCTGTGTACACAGTGCCAGACAAATGCTGAGTTTAGCCAACCTAGTTTTTCATTTGAATTGCACATTTGCAAGATTCGAGCACCAATATACAGTACGTGTCACTTATGAAATCAGCGCCCAGGTGTGTTTTTCTTTGCTGTTTTTGGCCTCCTATAAATACTAATTTTGGCTGACAGAGACTTAACTTACTATTGGGGTCATCTTGTACCTGGTTTGACAGCCTTATTGATTGGCTGGGTGCTCCTTTCCATTGCAGAGAATCCGGGATTCTTATTCTCCAGATTTCCCACATCTACATCTCTTTATCACACCCTGTCTCTCACCCAGTCCCAAAATATTCCGCCCCCATCCCAGACATTCAGAAGACTGCAAGATACAGTTCCCAAGTGAAGATGGATGATAATAAGAGCACCAGAGAAACAGACTGATTGGGAATGTGAGCTTCAGTGTTCTCTACCCCAGTAGCAGTCGGGTGTACATGGTTAGAAATTAACTACTATACAGGAGAATAAGAATAATAAAAGAGAATAATAAACAGACAAGCAAGCAAGCAAGCAAGCAAGCAATAATAATAATAAACTGATTACACAATCCTATTCATGTCTGCTTAGAAGCCCCATTGAATTCACTGGGACATGGTGCTTCCAGATAACCTGTTTATTGAGCATTCATCCTGATTTGTCTGCAGGGAGACAGAAGATGTTGGCTACTTAATGAGCATTCATTCAGATATTTTTTTGGGGGGGGGTGGAGTTGGATGACGAGTCAAAGCAAAGGTTATCTCGCCTTTTCCACTGTATTTCCCGATCACCTTCCTTACTGCAGAAAGCCCGATCTTTGGGGAAGGGGGTTTGTTGCACAAGATCTTGCAATCAGCAATAATTGTGCTACCTGGATTTGCCGGTACATGGCTGAATCCCACCTGGAAATAGGGATAAGTCTGGAAGCGCCTCAAGTAAGTGAAATTGGATCCTGGTCTTATATAAGATAAGATGGGCCTGCTGAATGAGGCCAGTGGCTCATCTTGTCCAGCATCCTGTTCTCACAGCGGCTGACCAGATGGGAAACCTGCAAGCTGGACTCATGCGCAACCGCAACTCTGCCTACCTGTGATTCCTAGCAACTGGTATTCAGAGGCAGCAGGCCTCTGGCAGAGGTGGTGGGACATGGCTGTCGGAGCTTGAAAGCCTCTTTTGCTCTCTGTGCCTCATTCCTTTTCTAAAAATTCTAGAAGCCTTGACGGCCTCCACTAGCCAATATTTTCTGAAAACTACACCAAGCTCGCTACAGCCCTGACGGAGAGAACCCAGGCGTCCTCCTGTCTCGAAGGACCTCTCCTGCTGTTTGAGTCTATGGTTCTCTGCTGTACAACTACTGAATCCAAAGAGTGGTAGCTTATAGCCCCCAAGCCAGCAGTGCCTATTCTCTTGCTAGAGTGCCCTTGATGGGTGGGAAGCAATCTATCCTAACAGTATCCATGGATACCATTTATAAAATATTGGTGAGAGCTTTAACTCCACCCCCCACCCCCCACCCCGCCACTAGCTGCCTTGAGGCCTAGAGAATAGTGGAGATGCAGATAGATAGGCAATGCCATCTTCAGTGACCTTGGAGCCAAATTTGTAAAATAAGGAGTGTGCTTTACCATGGTAGATAACTGAAACATGGAAAGGCTTCAGGAATGGTCTGGTTAATTTTTCACAGCTATGATAGCTGGCTGGGTAAATAGATCTTTTCTTTTTTCTTTCCTTTTCCAGATTGTGCTGAATATTGATACCTGCACTGTTTCTGGTGAGTTTTTACTTTCTGACTAGTGTGTTCAAGATGTTTTTTTCTTTGCCATCTTTTGTCTCACTTGCCTGATAGCATCTGCTTGACACTATATGACCTGACCGATATGGTCAAACCCATCTGAATTTCCAATTTTTTGGGGGGGGGGCGTTGCTTTTGTTCAGTTCTTTCAGCTGTCTCATCATGCGACTCATTCAGCCATTTTGTTTGCTAGGTAAGAACTTTGCTTGAGATAGCTAAAGAAAAATAAAGAAAGGAAAATTTACATCTGGTTTAGAGAGCCTTGGACGCAGGAGGAATTTGATGGGCAGATGGCTCATTTGGGGATGAATGAATGAATGAATGAATGAGTATATGTCTGGGTGTAGGTAGTTAGGTGAATGAATAGATGGAGGAGGGAAAGTGAGGTAGGTCGACTGGCTGGTGAGGGTTTATGAATGGATGGAGTGTAGGTTTTGGAATGGCTGGATAGACACAGGGAGATGAATGGATACTACCAGGACAGACACTAGGGGTGCTAATGGAAAGAGGGGTAGAATGTTTTAATTCATAGGATGTTATGTTTAAAGATCAACTGGTTAACTAGTAGATGGGTTGGTAGAATAAGTTTATGGTGAAAGATGGTTGAGTTAAGAGTTGAACAAGATACAGAAAGACTTGACCTTATTATCCTAATAGGAGCCTAAGTAACATCCATCAGTTTTCTGTATCCTTTTCATTGATGGAGGTTTCTCTTGTACCATGTGCCCAGCCATCATTAATAATAATAATAATAATAATAATAGCAGTAGTATGGTAATATATGATCTGCTTTACTTGGGCTGCTTACAGTGGCCCCATAGCCCCATATAATACAGCGGAATCATAGTAAAGCACACTATCAGAGTAAAACAAATACTGTAACTACAACGGGAATTGAGAAACTGAACTAGGGTTTCAAAACAACCACCCCCAAGACCTCTGATAAGCAAATGCAACGCAGTTCTCCTTATTCAAGGTGATGCTCTAAACGCCTTTCTCAGTCAAAAGGTCTTGCACATGACCCCCCCCCGCCCCAGCTCTTCTCTGTTTCTTCCTGCCCAGAGTCAACTGTATCAGCAGGTTCAAAATCTCTAGTCAAAAGCCACTTCCAACTGCCACTTTGAAGACTATGCAAGCTCAGAAATGCTGAGGGCTGAGACCCATATTATACAGCTGGTTCTGAATCCAAGGCCCTCTAGACTGGACAACCAAGCACCCAGATAGACTCTAGAAGTACTGGTAGGTAGGTTTCTTTACCTGCTAGTTGCAGCTCCCCTCTCACATAGGACCCTGGAGACTCCCCCCCACCCCCGCCATCTTAACCTAATGTAAATCTGTATAACCCTTTCTTTCCAAGAGAACCCAGGAGTTCTGCCTTTCAGCATGGCAACACTCCCTGTTGTAAGCCACAGGACTTGACTTCCTTTATGCAGAACCCAGGAGTCCCAGGAATAAAAGCCAGGAAGGGCTCCCCACGTCCCACTATCAAAACCCCTCTCCTTATTTTACAGGGACTTTGATGCTTTGCATTTTCAGAGGTTGTCCCCCCCCCCCAATATTCTGGTGATTCTTCTAACAAGAAAATCTCTCTTGTCAGTGGCAAATGGCCAGATGGGAGATGGATCTGAACCCTGGAAAGCCGAATTGGCATTTTGTTGGGGTGTGCGTAGCCCCCCTTTTGCAGAATAAGGCCTTAACCTTTGCAGCCAAACTCTTGGAAAGGTGGTCTGCGGTGATGATACCTCCCCCCCCCCATCTTCTTATTAAAGGCATGGCTGGTTCGAAGCCTCAATGCAAAATGCCGGGAAGAGCTGGCACCTGAGTGGCAGCGCCGTGCACAGTTCAACCTAACACTGACATGGGCATCTCTTCCTTTGCTTGATTTCCTCCAAGCCCTCCCTGCTGAATTTCCCATTCATTCAACAGCTGCTCCCAATCGGCAGTTCTTTTCAGTAAGGCCAAAAAACCCCAGCATCGCTGGAAATTTCAACCAGCCTCCCCTCGTCCGCCCCCCCCTCCCGGTATTCTCAAGCCATGCTGCCATTCCCAACATGTGTATGTTTTTTTCCTTGTCTCCCAAAACAGGGGGAAGGGGGGAAGTGTAAGAAAATAAAAGAGGGGGGAAATGCAATGCAAAAAACCTGGCTGGTATACAATTCAAACCCACCTTCAATGTCTTATTTCCCCCTCTTCCACATGCAAGCCTGTGTGTGCAAGCAGTAAACGTGGAGGGAAATTCACCAAAAGAAAGAAATCCACAGGAGAGGGACACAAAAGTATGGTGCCAAGGGAAATTTATTCCAGTAGATCTGTTGCATATATGCTTTAGCAAAGGCAGTCCGGAGGTGGACATCACCTGAAGCGAAGAGGGAAAAAGCAGTGCCTGGGAGGACCAGAAATTCATTCTAGCAACTGGGGAGTTGTGGATTTATTCCTTGGTGCATGAGAGAGAATCATGACACAGTTGTAAAATCCTTCTCTTGTAAATCACAGGCATATTCCACCACCACCACCCCCAGCTCCTGAATGTCTTGCACATATATCTTTTGCAGAACAAGGGGGGAATATTGAGACAGACAGACAGACAGACAGACAAGAGAGAGAGAGAGAGAGAGAGAGAGAGAGAGAGAGAGAGAGTGCTAGCAGGCTTACCTTGCAAAAAAAAGGGGGGTCTGTTTTCCAAAGGTGTCACACGCTGGGGGTGGTGAGAGACGGCTTCTCTTTTTGTCCCCCCACCTAGCAGTGGGTTGTTGGTGGCACCAGCCAGAGAAGATTCTGCGAAATGGCGTTTTATATCGAGGGGTATTTTGCTGTATAGGAGAGAGATGCTAGCATGCTGTTATTATGTCATTGGGAGAAACCATTGGACGAAGGAAAAAAAGAAGCAGCAAGCGAAAGAGGCTGGTTAAAGGAACGGAGAGGCATATGGGGTTGGGATGTGTGTATGTAGGGGAGGGGAGGATGGGGGGGCTGTGTGATGCCAGAGCGTTGTTAGGCATTGTGTGTGTGTGTGTGTGTGTGTGTGTTTCTGCATTGGGCCACCACGCATACCAGAATGGATTGCTTACTGTGTGTTGTGTGGATGGATCACTTGAGCATTGTTGTGAGCTGCAGTGTTTGTGTGTGTGTGATGAGCAAACAGTGGGACTTGGGGTAGTGTCACACAAGTGTTGTTGTGAGCGTTGTTGTTGTGCATATGCATCCTTCTTTTCTGTGCTGCAACCCCTCCCTACACAGTATATTCGGAGCTATAACGTGACATTGCATTGTGTGTCGCAGGAGGTATACAAATAAATATTGTGGGGGGAGGATATGTCTTTCTGAGTTTTCTTAGACAAGTCTCTATTGACTGCCATTACATTACAACTGGTCATATTGGATTGTACTGGCTGGGATGCAACATCCAGAATGGGTACATCATTGTTGTATGTTGTGTATCACTTTCATCTGGCTAATGCATGATGCGCTGGTTGTGTGCCACTGCATGTTGGTTGCACTTTAGATTATGTCCATTTCCTGTGACTTTCCATCATTTTTTAGTACTGCATCACTGTCATATAGCATTATGCTGTAGTATGGATGTATTTGGGTGTTTCGTTGAACTCCCACTGGTGCTCCTCCTGGACTGGCCTCAATATCACATCTGGGTTTGCATTCAGGTCTGTCCCATAGACATCTCACTGGCCTCTGTGAGAACAGGATGCTGGACCAGATGGCCTGATCCTATAACGTTTGTGACAGCCCTATATTATCCAGCATCTATATAATCTGGTTCAAAGGCCAGAACCTGTAGATTTTCTTTCCTTCATCACAGTCCTGGAAGGTAGGTTAGAATAAGAGGGAATTGATTGACCAAGGCCATGGAGGGAGTTCCATGACTGAGTGAGGATTTGGACCTGTGTCTCTAACATCAGGCGTTCCAAACCCAAAGTGTCCACTTGTTGTGTGAGTGATTAAATGTGCAGGCATCTTAATTGGTCCTTTGAGAGAAATTGAGTCCTTCCCATACAGTGGTAGCAGCTGCCTTTTGGGACTGAGAGCCCAAACAGTAGGTAGCGCTAAATCCAATGACTAGCAGAGCCAACTAACTCTAGTTTTGCACCCATCCTCTTCCCTGCTGAGATCTACAGGGGCAATTCTGAGAGAAAAGGGGGAGGAACCTGCCAGCCTCTGAACAGGGGGTTGCCTGAGAACAGACTAAGGTTGGTGAGGCAATGTCTCCGTTGCCCTCATGAACCAGCCTCCACTGTCCCCCGTACATATTGCCCTAATGCCTTCACAACCTCCATGTGTATTCCCTGCCTCAGAACTCCGTTTATTTAGCCACCCAGAAGTGGGTGGCTAACCAACCTTTGGTTCACCAGATGTTGCTGAGCTGCAGTTCCAATAATCCAGTGATTATTGGCTATGATGGCTTGAGCTGATGGGAGTATCTGGGGTGAGGAGCACAGGTTAAGCACCCTTGCTCTACACAGTAGCTATTTACTCTGCAATGTAGAGTCACAAACAATCAGCAGTTCCTGCTGTGATTTATGTTTCTGGGTTTTTCATTATGCAAGGTATGTGTCTATCTTGCTTATTTACTGATTCCACAAATGTCTAGTCTACCTGCATCACAACATGAGCTCAAGGTGGCACATTCAGTTTCCCCCTCCTCATTGAACAACAACCCTGCGGGGTAGGTTAGACTGAGAGGCAGTGACTTGCCAAGGTCACCCAGTGTGGTGTTTTTGCCTGGGTGTGATCTATCATTGAACTCTGATAATGCCTCTTCCTTACCTAGCATGTGACCGCCCCCCCCCAGCACCAAAGGTTGCCCAGAAGGGAATGTGGCCCTTGGAGTTAAAAGGGCTCCCCAAGCCTTTTCTAAAGGCATCTAAAGTAGGTGGGGCTTGTTGAAGAAAGTGTTGCATAATTATGGAGGAGCCACTTTTAGGAAGGTCCTGCTATGAGATCTTGCAAAGTGGGCAGGTTTCTTGGTGGAGGGCCTTCTCCAAATATTTGGTGGGTCTTGGTGGATGGGAAGACTCCCAATGGAGTCTGTGGGTTAACAAATAATAATCATATTTTGAATTGCACCCAGAAATAAAGAAGCAAGCAGTATTGCTGCACTGCAGAATATTTCCTGGTCATGCACAGAAACCCCGTATGCCTATGGTTTGTACACACTTGTGAGGTCTACTATGATGCCCTGTATGGATGTTGTATGGATCATGGGTGCCTGACTTCCACATGTTGTCTGATAATACCTGATAGAGCAGGGCATCTGGAGGGTTCTCAGTCTGTGAACAGGAGCCCTGATAATTCAGGGATCTTGATGGCATGAAGAGATCCGTCTTTGCATTCACTTGAACATGAGAGGGCTCTTTCAGACATGTAGGGGTCAAGGAGGAGCATGCGATTCACTCCCCTTCTATGTAGTCACGTAGTATCCAGAGCAGGGTTTGGCAGTCTATTGGATATGCAGGTTTTGCAATGGAACCTGTCATTGCAGTCCTAATTTCATTCCTCCCCGTGTGCATACAGTCTCCCTGGATTTGTCATCTGAAGGCTTCAGGACAGGGGATGAGATCAAGTGGACAGGAGCGGATGAGCTGTTACATATGTATAAGCGCATTCACCTGTGTCCATCTTTCTGTGCTACCATGTAAACTACACTCAAAACATTTTACAGAGGCTGGAATATGCAGTGATTCAGCAGAGTGCCCCAGCCCTTGAATGTGAGCTTGTCCTTCCCAGGCTTGGCTTCACCAGCTCCCCTCCTCTGTGTGAGCCCAGGGGTCCCACAGTGGCCCACCCACCCACTGTGCTCACTTCTCCTACACAATCTAGACTGAGCTTTTCACGAGCAAAAGGAAGACAGAGGGCTATAAAGAGGAATGGACTTGTGAAGGAATCAAGGGTAGATTGTATACTTATCTGCTGTACCTTGCATTGTTTGGGACTTGCATCGCTGGCTGGGGCTGGTGGAAGATGCAGTCCAATACCATCTGGGGCATCGGTTACCCTTCCATATCAATGTGCACTGTTCTCATGTCCACCATGATGGTGGAGGGAGTCAGGTGGAATCCACCTAGCAGCAGAATCTGTGGCTGGAGCTTCTCTCAGCACATGACTACCCTGCCTTCCCTGCTTTGGTCATGGTAGATTGTGACAAAGAGACAAAAGCCAGGAACTGGGTGATTAATCTGAGTGACCAACATCATCACGGTGTACTCATTATAGTTGGTTAGGTGGATTGTTCTGTGATGTGTTCAGTGGTGTTTTGATGTGTACTGTTGCACATAATGCATCCTTACATTGTGCCGTGCACTATGTATTACATTTGTACAGAGTATATGGTTGTATACCTGTGATAAACGTCATTGCCATGGGTTACTGCATCTCCCTTCTCTGTTGTGCTCCAGTGTGTGAGCTATTACACAACACTGTGTTAGTGTATCGCAAAGCAGGTGTGTACTATACGTTTTGTGCTGTTCGTTGCAGTAGCACTGCGAATGGTTAATTACTTAGGAACAGTGGTGTGTGGCATTTTTGCGTGTTTTATTGTCAGCTATGTATCACCATCCTCTATCAGGCTGTGTTGTTCTACATAAATCCGTGGGCCTTGGGGGCTATGCATGCCTTATGCTCACTGTTCATGGTGCCTGTTGCATATCCCTGTGCAGTGTGCACACGCAAACTGCATTGTCGTTGTGCGTGACTATCTGCCTGTTGTGTTTGCGTCACCGTGCACTGAAGTTGTGCACAGCCTTGCTGCCGCATTGCATAGCACTGGTGTCCCCTCGGCATAACTTAGAACTATCCAGGGTTGCACACAGCGCACACTGCTGCACAGTGTGGATTGCCCCTGTTCTTTTGGCATATGCTGCTGCTGATTGTGAGCTCCAGACACAGCCGGGAAGCTGCTGCCTCCCTTCTCCCCCTCCCTGCCCCGGTTGCCATGCCAATGCAGAATGCTGTATCTCTCTGTTCAGCAGATGCCAGTGCTCACAACTCCATCTCTCTCCCACCCAGAAGTCTAGGCTTGCAGGAGGAGTGGAAAGGGGGGGGTGATTCTGAGATTGTTGTGAAGAACTCCCTGTCTTCTCTCCTCCTCGGCTTTATTTGAGCGAGGGTTCAGCCCCACAACCTGTTTTGAATGTCAGAGCTCATCAGTCTGGGAACGGCACATTTCCCTCTCTGACAACGCTGCGTCAAAGCAACAGGGGTTGATGGCAATGTGGATCACAAAACATGTCAATAGAGGACAAGTCAATTCGTTCAGTCAAACCCCTGAATGCACCATCCGTCGCCCGTCAGTCTTGTGAAAGTTTGGCATTGTCTGCTGGGATAGCGGCCCTTGTAAGAAATAATAACTCATGACAACAAAAAGGAAATCTATGTACATAGGCACAGACTTGATCCTATTCTATTGTTATGGACTGAGCTCCTCAAATATAAATGATGAGTTGCCAGCTTTGATGGGCTCTCTGGGGTTCCACCCTAGTGAGATTATTGGGATTCTAGCCTCTGAACAAGATAAAGCTACTGAATAGGGGAAGCCCAACTAATGCTCAACCAACCGTCAGAGTAATATTGCTGCCCCCTCCAACTTCATGCAAACAAATGAGGATGAATGTCCAATAAACAGGTTGCCTGGAAGCATCAAAAGTATACGTACACTATAGATATGAAGCTCCTCCAGATGGCCTATTTATTGAGCATCCATCCTAATTTGCTTGCACAAAGCATACCCAGTATGTCCTGTCTTCAATGAGCATTTTTTCTGATTTATTTGTGGGGAGGATAGTCAACAACAGACATTCATCCTGATTTATTTGCACAGAGGTTGCATTCCTTCCGGTCCATCAATCATTAACCCACGCTTTTTAGCGCATTTCTCTGTCACTTTCCTAACTGCAAAATATTTGATTTTTTAAAAAAGTGGATTTGTTTTTCCAAAATCCACTTTATTTGGCAAACCTAACTTTTTGGTATGCAGCTGAATCCCTCCATCAAGATAGCGACAG